CCAGTTTAGAATAGCATCAGCATCTTCGTCTGTTTGTACAGGGGGGAAAAAAAGGCAGGCTGACTGAAGCTGAAGACAGAGGGAGCAAAACCTAACAAGTGAGCTCGCTAAAATGTGGGGCCTAGTCCCTCCCATTTGGAGAAGCTGTAAACAGGACAAACTAATAGGAAGTGGGGAAGAGAGCTGATCTTTTCCTATAGGGTTCTTCCTTTTAACCACTTAGACTGTAGGAACCAAAAACAGAAAACAAGAAGGCAGTTATATAGCAAAGAGCAATACTTAGGGTGTGGGGAGCAGGGGATCTTTTAGCCTTGAAGGGAGGAGAAAGGGAATCAATATAGTTTGATTTAAAGTGATCTTAAATTCCTGCAAACTTCTCCAAAACATCTTTCACAAAAAGAAAAAAAAAAGTAATGGTGCCAGTTCTAGGTTGTGCTGAAATCCTCCAGATGATGCTCCCGTATTAATCAGTTCTAGGTTAGCAAAGGACCAAACAGTAGAAAACCTTACCCGCTGACACTGTGAGCACTTAAATACAGATGGAAGGAAAACAGTAGGCAGGATTGCTTGGAGTAGTGAGAAAGACTACCCAGAAGGCCAAGGGAAAGATGGAGGCAACAGCCAGGACTTCAACCCCCCACTTACAGAGAGCTGAAGCAGCCCTCCCTCCCAAGCCACACAGACAGCTGAGGTTACTTCATCCTCCCCTCAAGCTGTGGCCTACACCTCATTTTCCTCACTTACATTTGCTTTGCTCTCCTCTGAACACTGAGGTGGTGAGAGAACTTGCCCTGAGGTTAAAGATGTACAATTAAAGAGCCACCAAAGCTTTCAGGCTGCTCTCTGGGCCCCAGGGTCACAACAACCATCACATCATGCACATCCACACCAAAATGAGCAAAGCAAGCTCCTGCCAGTGAGGACAAAGGAGCCACTGTTCCTGCAAACAGATAAAAATCTACTTCTGTATCAGAAGACAGAAAGGAAGCACACTGCTGAAATTTAGTCTCGAAAATACTTGAAATCGTCTAAATGAACATGTAAGTAAAAAGTGTTTCTCAGTGACAAAGTTTCAAATTGAATGAACACTTACCACTTGAATCTGAATGAAAACATGTAAAAAAAATATGATGAGCACAGAGTCAGAACACCAAAGCCTATTACTAGCAAACCACTCCAGGTTCACTTAGCTGAACAAAGTACAAAGTAAACAGCAAAAATGATGACAAATAGAACAGACCAGATGTTTTACTGTATTTATAACCAACACCGTTATGCACCAGGTCCAACAGAACACACACCTGTTAGTTTTTCATGGAACCATTCCTTTAAGATACTCTCAATAAGGGGACTCAAAGACTTTTGAAAACGAGAGACAGATGAGAGAAATGAGCTCCACAGCAAGCCTTCAACAACAGGGCTTCTCTGGCCAGAGCCTGTTCACACACCTGAAAGGTATGGCATGCTCTAAGTTTTAAAGTCTGAAAGATCTAGAAGTCAGCTGGGCAGATACCAAAAGCACGAGAGCCGCTCAGTAGCTAGACTGGAGAGGAGCTAGGGTGGTTCTCTCTCCTTCTAGCCCAGGCCCAGCAACATACAGGGTTTCTCCATAAAAGCTTGTCATAGAACAACTATCTGTCACTCTGAAAGGCGGTACATTATATTCTAATGCTTTCCCTGCTTCTTCTGGAAGGTCCTTCCTACCACAATCTCAAGCTTTCTTCCTTCCATTTAAATCTGTGTGGTTTTTTTTTTTTTTTGGCTTTTATTAAAATACAGAGCAAAATACTATTGAACTTATTAAGAACAAGAAATCAGTGGTCAAAACTATCTTCCATTCATTCTCTTTCTTATTAGGCTTGCTTTTTGCCTGTAGTCATTTTTGTTCCTCCACTGTGAGTTTTTCCAGCTCCTCATATCCCTTGCTGACGGGAATACCTTAGCAGGCAGGGGCTCTGATGAGACCCTGACCCACGGCAATCTCACTAGAAGGTACTATGCTAACTGGGATTGAAATTTTCTCTCATTCATCTTCCAAGTTTCCTCTGAATTCTATCAGGATCTTGGTATCTAGAAACCTTTTAGATCTTCCTTCTGCCCAAGAGGTGGAACTTTAAGTTGCAATTAATAGCAGGTCTTGGGCTCTCCCTCTTTTTCTTGCGGGTGTCCGGAGGATACAGATGTGTGGCCCTGATGCGCCTTCCCCCTATGCCCGCACCTGTGCCCACAGCCTCGCAGAACCCTAATGACATTGAGCTGGATGCCATTTGTCACCTCCTCTAGATCCACTCAAATCCATCACTTGTCACAGCAAGGGTTAGATTGATCTGACAGGATTTGCTCTTCTTCACAACCCATGTAAGTTATTACTGAGAATCCCACATTCTTCTAGCTGTTTGCTGATTGATTATCTGGCGATCAGGTCAAGTATCTTCTCTGGAATCACAGTAAACCAACAGGTCTATAATTTCCAAGATCATTCGTATCCCCCTCTTAAAGATAAGCAAGACAGCAATGTCACCTTTCTCCAAGATCTCTAAAGCAAGAGCTAATGTTTAGCTAATAATGCATCTTAAATGCCCTGGAATCACACCATCAGGGTCCATTAATTCTGGAGACAGTCTTTACTCAGGTGCAGATCCTGAAAAACAGCACCAAGCTCTAACTCAGTGTGGGTCATGAAAACCTTCATGCCAGACCAGCGGTAGTAGTGCATACCTTTAATCCCAGCACTCAGGAGGCAGAGGCAAGCAAATCTCTGAGTTTGAGGCCAGCCTGGCCTATAAACTGAGTCCCAGGACTGCCAGAGCTACACTTTCTAGAGAAACCCTGTCTTGGGAAAAAGAAGGAGGATAGGGGGTGGGTACCTTTGAGCCTAAGTCTGGGAAGCAAGTTGGTAACATAGGTGATTTAAAACCCAACTATAATATCTTCAACATGATGATAGACAGACAGACAGCTGAACTTACCCTTGAAAGAGAGATAAAAGATGACACCGACTAAGCAAACTGAGACATAAATCAGATTCCATATGCAAAAACACTGGCAAGACCTTCTGTAGGATAAGTGAACAGAGCTATGTAACTATCTGAGGTCATAATCCAGTAGAAAGCTAAGAAACACATACACATAAGCATGTTCCAGAAAGCAGCAAATGCAGAAATGATGGAGACTCGGGAGAGATAAAGATGAATCTCATGCAATAGAGGTGTGCTGGATTTAGAGTCATGCTCACTAAGGCATAGCATACCCAGGGACTGAAACTTTGTAAGAAAAGAGAGTATGAAACAAAATGTGGATCCTGGATTCTCAACTCAGAAGCCAACCACCCACCCGCAGCCCCACAGGCAGGAGCAGGAGGTAGAATGGAAGTGTAGCTTGGGCAGCTCCCAAGCAACATTCCCTTTCACCTAAAGTTTCTTCCCTTAGGGCACGGTCCTTGTCGAAACTGGCCTGATTCCAATGCTCCAGAGGCAAGCCATGAACAGGCAAGAGGAAAAGAGGAAAGGAAAGGGGTGTAGTGTCTTCGACAGGTAAAACCATCTGACATTCTACAGACATACCCCTCTAGAAAAACCTAACCACAGAAATGCAGCCAGTTTATCTTTCTGTGGTTTCCAGTGCCTCCCAAGTTTCAATGGTCTCCTAATGAAAGATACTCTCACCAAATCAACAGGTCTGTGTATCCCAAAATTAGACATTGTAACATTGTAAGCACTGCGGGAGGAGCTGTCATCCTAGAGCTACCCACACCTGAGTCTCCACAATACAGTGAACTCCTCCCACCAGCATCCAACCATTCCAAACTAATCCAAACTTCTTGGTAACACTGCTTGAAAAGATTAAAAGGTCTTTGTATACAGTTGGTACTAAGGAAGAAAAGCAAAGATATTTTCCTTTCCAATAGACTAGCAATGTTCAGGCTATCTAATGTTACAGAACAAATTATACTAAACCAGGTACACACCTGTAATCCCACCGCTTGATGGACTGAGACAAAAGGATAGCAAGTTCAAAGCCAGCCTGGGCTATGAAATGAGTTCAAGGACACCCTGAACAACACAGTGAGATTCTTTATAAAGGAAAAGCAAACAAAAAATATTCCAAAATGTGTGGCTTTAAGCATTAAGAATCAATTGTTCAAGCTGGGCAGTGGTGGTGGCACATGTCTTTAGTTCCAGCATTCAGGAGGCAGAGGCAGATGGATCTCTAAGTTTGAGGCCAGCCTGATCTACACAGCAAGTTCAAGGGTAGACAGAGCTACACACAGAGAAATCCTGTCTTGAAAAACCAGAAAGAAATGGGGGGGGGGGGGGTTGTTAAGTGTTCTCTGTCATAGTTCCTAGGAGTCAGGAATGTGGCAGGTGCTGGGCTGGCAAATTCACTCCCATGATAGTTCACTAAAATGATTGGCAAGCTAGTGTTAGTTCTTGGATTACAGCCTCAGTTTCTATACATGTGTGTCTCTGCAGTACTGTTTGAGTATCCTCATAGTGTGGTAATGGCTTCTGCCAGAGCAAATGAGCCAAAGGAGCAAAGCAGACTGTAGTGTTTCTTCTAACCAGTCTGTGACCTTAGTCACACACTGTCTTTTCTACTACATTCCACTGGAGACAGGGTTACCTATGAGTCAGTGCAGACATGTTAACACCAGGAGGGAAGGTCACCTTAGAAGATGACTACCACAACCTCCTTCAAAGACCACAGGGCAAGGGAAGGAGACGGGACCACAGAACCCTAGGAGAGGAGGAAGGCTGGGAAAGAAGTATTCTGATTCCCAAAAGCTGAGGCGAAAAACAATGTATCCACTTCTCTACAGAGACTTTGGCAGTTCTGTCTTGCCCTACCACACTTTTAACCAATCTGTCTTGGAAGGCAAATATTTCAAAGAGTAAATAAAAGTCAGAAGATAGGAGAAAACTCTGGGTCCCAGGAAGCAAGACACTCCTCCCTCCCTCTTACCCACCCAACCTTTTCTGAAGCAATGATACAGCAGTTACCTGAGGATGAATCTGTGGCTTGTCGCAGGTGGCCTCAAAGTCCAGCACTAAAAAGTAGTGATACCTCTGGGGAGGAAAGGGCACCATTGCCGCCATTGACGCGCCAAAGCCGTGGGCCGCCAGCTTTCTGGTAGATATGGAACAGAACTCCGGAACGCCACAGGGAGAAAATAAGTGGGAGCCCAGCACTTTTCTTGCTCTTGAAAGTAAATATGAAGAAAATCGAGCTGCTCCAGTCTGTAAAGGTGCTAGCATTGAGCATCCAGAGGCATCTAAAACTTAGGGGAGGAAAGTTAAAAGAAAAAGAAAAGAAAACGAAAAACAAAACAAAAACAGAGAGCCTGGGTTACTCCCCTCCCACTGTGGCCTGGTTCCATCCAGTCATCAGGAATATCCATGCAACCTGAACCATTCCCCACGGTCTCCAGGCCCATTTTCTGAATCACGGTTTGTTACTAAAGTTTAAGAGCCAGCATCTGCAGTGTTATTAGTACAATCCTGTCTCCTAGGTCTTTCTCAAAGCAACACACAAAACTGGCTTCATTTGTAAAATGGAGCACTAGTTCAAAAGAGAGCAGGAACAGGACTTCTGCAGTCACTTCTCAGGAAGCAATAGTTAGCAAAGGATTCCAGAGCAATTTGAGGTGAGCAACAGCACAATGAGTCTAGAAACAGACTCACTTCCTGTATGCTCTCTTCAGCTCTTTACACATCATTTGCCCCTGGAGCACCCACCTGTGACTTGACATCTCCACATACCCTCTGTTGTCTATCAGCAAGGAAGTACAAGAGCCAACAAAGTCAATCCAGGGAATTCTGTTCATCACATTCTGATGATTCCCAATCTCCACACTGCTAAAAAGCACCCTGGGGGAACTGGGGAGCAGCTGGCAACAGCCTCAGGCCTCCTCATTTGCTGCCTTGGGCCTCACTCTCTCCTAGAGGCCCAGAATGACTATGAGGCCTTTCAAATAGAAAAGGGTAAGAGAAAACCCAGATGTGGCAGTAATGGGAGCATTTCTAAAAGTCTAGTAAAATTTTCTAAGGGAACATGTGCAAAAAAAAGAAAAAAAAACGGAATCATTTTTTTCTTTACATTTTCCCTTTAAATTCACACAATATCTGCTCTCCTCTAAGGGTTAGCTAAACATAAAAATCAAAGCCTAAGTTTTACTCACAAATAACCTGATCTAAGAGAAGGAAAGAAGGCAGAAATACAGGAACGTGTCCTCCCCCACATTAGACCCAATACAGAAATGTTCCTCAAACAAGAAATCTTACCATTTAATACACAAAGTGCCATAAGTTTATGCTCCCTGATGCCAAATTCCAACAGAACCAAAGGCTTGTCTCTAACACTGTCTCCCCATGCAGGGTAGGACAGTACTCTGTGAAGGGTGGAGCACACTCAGACCCAATGAGGTCACTACCACCTGAACAAAAAAAAAGCACAATGCAAATATGTCTTCTCTTCCCAGCTCTCTCCTGACTCCCTGAAAGCTACAACCCCTTGCCTGTGTTTCTATTAGGAAACACAGTAGTGTGGGCCCTCGGTCTCTGTATCTAAACATGAAATATCATGAGGATTGCCTGAAGACTAAAAAAGATTCTTCATGGATCCTACCACAAGCATGGCACTTGTTTTTATCATTGCTTTACAGCTTCCCCCAGAACTCCTAGTCCAGGGAAGACAAAGGCAAGCTTGAGCTTCACTATGTAATCTCTTATAAAGGCAAAAGGACCAAAGTCCCTTTGAGAGTCAGAATGCAAAATAAACCCATTCACTCACTCACTCACTCACTCACTCACCCACCCTACAGTATCGGGAAACAAGTGACAGATGATAATGGCTCCATTCCCCATTCTAGTTTAAATGCAAAGTCTTTCTGGAACTTAGACCTCTTCTAACCAACTGAGTCAGGTAGCAAGACTTTTGAAACTCTTAATGTGTTATAGTATACATAGTACATAAATCAACTAGATTCTGCCTGCCAATACCACAGGCAATAGTCTTGACTAACAAAGATTTCCTGTTCAGCACTTACTAGCCATGGCATCATGGGCACACTCTGTTCTTCAATTCCCTGCCTGTAAAATGACAGTAACAACAACAATAATAATAGTATCTACTTCTAAAGTGAGAATGGAATGAGAACAGAAGTAAAACATCAAGAGCAGTATCTAGCATATATTAGATCAGACAGTATTAGCTTACTATCATTACTACAGCTATGAAGGTGGCTCTTCTCTTGATTAATAATGCTTACAAAGTTACCTCCAACATCCCTATAATTCTCTAGGCCTCCTAAAGGGCACAATATACACACCCTATCCCCTCCCTTGGACAACACACTGATAGCTAGAGGGCCTCCTTTCTTACAAGCTTTGTTTTCTCATTTGACTTCATCCACTTGAATGAAGTCTTAAGAATAGACTGGAGAGATGGCTGCTCTTCCAGAGCACCTAAGTTTGATTCCCAGCATCCACATGGTGGCTCACAAGCTCTAGCTCCAGTCCCAGGGCATTGGATGCCCTCTTCTGGCCTTTGCAGACACTGCATGCACATGGTACCCAGATATACATGCAGGCAAGCAAAACAGCCATATATGTAAAAATAATGACGTAGATATTAGGAGGTCAGGCCTCCACATGTCAACACTAACTGGATTCCAAACTGCCTTCCTAACAACCAAAATCAGATCAAGTCAAAGAACAGAAGGCAATGCTTCCTCTTCCCTTTGTAAAAAATTCGATTCTAAGACCATTAAATGCAATAAAGAAGTATCTGTATCAGTTGGAGTTGGGAGAACAGAGGGGTTGAAATGAAGGCTACGAGCCAAGGCAGGTGAGAAGGGCATCCATGCAGAGGTGGCAAGGTTGACTGTACCATGTTAAAGCCAAGGGCAGGCACAGAGAACACTCATGACAAAAGGAATTTATTGAGATTTACACACAAGATAAACAAGTTATTGTTGAGGGAGGGGTAAAGAGCCAGTAACACCACAATAGTTACATACAAAAAGGAGAAGCAAAGTGCATCTATTAAGGATAATGGAAACAAGGTTTCTCACTGCTTTAAAAAAAAAAAAAAAACCCAAACCTGTAGTGTTCTTTGGAATTTGAATTCAATTCATGATTTCTGGTATAGATGTGGTGAATATGGATATATAAATGTAGATATAAATAAAAGTATGATAACAGCCAGGTGGTGGCGGTGCACGCCTTTAATCCCAGCCCTTGGGAAGCAGAGGCAGGCGGATCTCTGCGAGTTGGAGGCCAGACTGCGGTAGAGAGGAAGTTCCAGGACAGCTAGAACTACAAAGAAACCCTGTCTCAAAACAAAACAAAAGTACGATTATACACACACAAATAGATATAAATTCACACTGTAGGCATTGATTAAGGATGAGTTAACAACAATGAGCACACTTAGCACACAAGCACCTTCCATATACAACTGTCCACTGAAAGAACCAGAGCTCCTTGGAGAAATGGCAAGAAACTTACAAGATGAGCCTAAGATATCCTATAAGAAAGGAAGCGAATGCTCAAAGAAAAACAGAAACATATCAAAGAGACTCAAAAGCTACCTTGAGGGGATTCCTCTGTTGGTCAAAAAAAGAATGATGGAGATGGATTATAATGTAATGAATAAGCCAGAAAACCATGAGTTCATAAAAATTTAATAAATCCAATTAAAATCTATGGAGGCATATAACCACAGTTTCAATGTATTTATCCACAGAACCCTTATTAATTAGAATAAGAAGGAATTTTATAATGGAAAAGATGAGCAGACATCATCTTACACAACTGGTCAAAATAAGCATCACTGCTAGTTGTGGCAGCACACAACTTTAATCCCAGCACTCGGGAGGCTGAAACTGGAATTCAAGGCCAGCTTTGTACACAGTGAGATACAGGTCAGCCAGAGTTACATCATCAGACCCTGCCCCTCCCAAACAAAAGGCGTCAATAATGGGAAAAATCAAAATCACATGTTACTTGACAAGATGAAATGAGAACAAAGGATCATTTCTGATATCCTGCTGAAGAAGCATAATATGAGCCCAAGTGTAAGAAAGTATCAGACAAACCCTAACAGAGGAACAATACATCCAATAACCAGTCCATAATCTTCAAAAATATCAAAGTTATGTGTGTCAAGGAAAATATACCAAGGAAAGTATAAAGGAGACTACAGACTTGATAACTTGATGTAAACCTGGTGTGAGACAATGGTCTGTATCCTGTCAATTATATTTTAAATAAACACTGATTGGCCAGTAGCCAGGCAGGAAGTATAGGTGGGACAACCAGACACAAAGTAGAGGCAGGACAATGAGAACAGGAGAATTCTGGGAAGAAGGAGATCCTAATCTGCAGTCCTGCCCCATCCACAGAAGAAGCGAGATGTGACTGCCCTGCCAAATAAGGTACTGAGCCACGTGCCTAACATACACAAAAATAATGGGCTAATATAAGTTGTAAGAGTTAACAAGAAGCCTGAGCTAATGGGCCAATCAGTTTATAGTTAATGTAGACCTCTGTGTGATTTCTTTGGGACTAAACGACTGCAGGAACTGGGCAGGACAGAAAACCCCAGTCAACAAAAACCAGTGATCAACCACCCCTTTTGCTTTACTAAGAACATTCCTGGGACCATCAACAAAACTTGAATGGGATTCGTGGACCAGATAGAAGTTAACATATCGATGTGAATTATCTAATTTTGATAGTTGCAGTAAGGTAAGAAAGGGGCCTGCTTGTAGAAAATACACATCAAGTATCCTTAATAATAATAGAACATAAGTTCAGGACCTTAATTCTCAAATGGTTCAGAAAAGAAATCTTTGTATTGTACTTCTGATTTTTATGTAAATTCGGGTTGTTTCAAACTTTTGTTATTTTAAACACCTTCAAAACTCCAAGTACAGGACAGGTGCCTGAATTCAGGGACCCTCAATGCCACTGAGTCTCAACTGGAAAAGCTACCATCAGTGCCCTTTTGAACTGTCACTCTGGCCTCACACAGCCCTCTCAGGAAACACCTGGTGATTCCTTCAACAGCAAACCACCTGCTCTTGCCTGTGTTAGCAGCCTGAGGTTTCTTTTCCATTGATGTCTTTATACTTTGCAAATACTTTGCTACAAGTGTGCAGAATTTAAGTCTGTAGCTCCAGTATCAACTGGGACTTTGGAATCTGGTTGAGGTGAAGAACTCAAACAATCTATGACTCTCTGTATTTCTGCATAACATATTTTTTATTAGAGAACA